ATGCTTATAAATTTTGTGAGTTGATATATTTAAACATGTCAATAGATCCATTTAAACACTAAATCTTTGACTACATATTGAGTGTTTATTGGACTCTATTAATACAATCAAATATCAATAGAATATTTGTTACTTGGTTATATCCCCTGTCTGAGTTTGATGGTCATTGGAGGCCCTAGTGATTTCGCCTCAACAATCCAAACCATGATGCATAAATATAAAGATTAAGAAAAAATTTTTAAGGCAAAGTCTTTATATCAATAACTTAAATATATTCTGTTGCCCTACCAATGATGGAGACATTCATCCTTTGGTATTTACATATTAATTTTTACTATTCAGGACATTCTGAAGATTCATGTCATTGCATTTTTTAATTTTTTGCTCAAGTTTATTGTGACACTGGTATGTCAGAAGAATAACTTAGCTAGTGAGTGAGCCTAACCCGCTGCTCAGAATCATCTTAACTTTGTTTTCTAATCACTTTTATGCACCCAGTAATAATATATTTATTTGGGGGGGGGGGGGAATCTTAAAATAAAGGTAACTGGTATAGAAAATTATATAGACTGAAAAGTTATACCGTATTTTCTGGCATATAAGACAACTTTTGAAATGAAAAAAAGTCAACCGAAAATCGGAGGTCGTCTTATACGCTGAGTATATCCCGAAAAACGTCTCAACATGCCACTAAATGAATTTTCCAACTTGATCCCGCACCAATCACTGCAAGGCTGCTCGGACCGCCTCTCTTACTCAGCCAATCCAAGCAGGCTTTTTATGCATGCAAATTATACATGTTCTGTCCCCAAAGCTACACTGTGTTCTAGTAAAAAGCCTGCTCAGATTGGCCAGAGTCAGAGAGGTGGTCTATTAAAAAAAGAACTGGTGTTGCCTCAGAAGTGGGGGTAGTCTTATACAGCGAATATAGGCCTAAACCTATGTTTTAACTGAAAAATTAGGGGTCGTCTTATATGCCGGAAAATACTAATTAATAGTCATGCAGTGAAGCAGTATAATATAGTGTCTTTTAAATTATATTGCCTGGATTCAAATCCAAGATTCATTTATTTTCTAATTGTGTGGCTCTGGGCACATTACCTAATTACTCTGAAGTTTAAATTCCTCACTTGAAAAAAGGGGGGTTAAAATAATAATACTGCTTCCCCCTGAAGTTTTTTGTGAGAATTAAGTGAGTCTCAGCACTTATCATTGTGTCTGACACAAGATTAAGTGCCCATTGACCTACAATATTAATATTATTTTTATTATTATCATCACCATCATCATTATCATCATCATCATCAACTACAGCAGTAAGGAGAAATTATAGGAGTGGTCCCAAATAAATCCTACCAAAAATATCCAAGATTTTATATCTTCCACCCTCGATATCAAATAGTTTTTATTCCATCTTCTATTTTTAGTTCCTTTTGGCTTCTTCATAGTCACTTTCTCTCTACCTTTTAAAGCTCAACAACTTGCCATTCTCAAGTGAACCAAGGGTTTCACATCTACTACTAGTCACAAGCAGGAAATGTTCAATACCTGGCTAAAGATTTATAAATCATACTCATCAAAATAATATATGGCACAAGGTTGGAAGAATTCCTTAATATGCTACATGATAGAATTAAGATCATAAAGGACTTGACAGACAAAAAAGTATGTTGAAACTAATTAGGTGTTCAAATCACATTTTGAATATTGTGTTAGTTCTAGGCAAAAACAAAGTAAATTGCATCCAAAAAGCAATTAGAATGATGAGAGGATATAAAAACCCCAATGTCTGAGGGAAGATTAAAATACTTGTGATCATGTCTCCTAGAGAAAGACTGGGGATTCAAACATACTTTTTCATATATTTATTTGAAAGGCTATGATTTGGAAGTGATCATTCTTATTCTGCATATTTCCCGAAAGATTGACCCCAGGGCTACTGAGTGAAAATTGGAGGTATGTTTCAAGTTATTAAGAGAAATTTTTTTCAAAATATTATTTCTTTAAAAAGTTTATTACCCTTATGAAAAAGCTAAATTTCCAGTTTCGTCACCTTGATTTTTATATATATCTTTATTGGGCAAAGCCAGTGATTTATATGCTCACCTTTGTCCTGACCTCTAGATCCAAATTTCCACTGGATTTCCTATAGCTCCCTCAAAACAGATTCACTATCTGAACACCACAAAATACTCCTATCTGGAGTGCCTATTTCACTTCTCAGTCACCTAAAATAAAAACTTAAAAGGCCCAATTTATCCCTGATCCTGATGATGGTGATGATAATGGTCACAGTGGTAATAGCAACTACTTTCCATTGAATTTTTACTATCTGAAGTCATTGTGCTACATTTTACATATATTACTTTATATAATCTTTGCAATAACCCTATAATATGTGCATTGATATTTTCATTTTATAGAGGAAGCTGAGGCTTAGAAGGGTAAGGAGCAGAAATTGGATTTGTAGTCAAGGGCCTCTGACTCTAAAGGCTATATGACTAGCCCTTCCACTATATAGCCTTTCCAATTAGTTACCAGTATGGTTCTACTTCTTTAAGTCTTTTAATGGCAGGCTTCTCACTTCCCATCCCCTCTATAAGTGAGGGAACTCTGGCGCTTCAGATGGCTGGCTTCTCTCATACTTCCTGTTGCATCTTGTATGCCATCCTAACCAAGAAGACTCTCCCCTGCTCCTCAGGGTGCCCTGACCATAGTGCTCATTATGATTGGGGTCTTTTACACTTAGTAACTTGTTTATTCCTTAATTCTCTTAAAGAAATGGAAGCTCCATAGGGGATAACTTGTTATTTGCTATTCTCTGAATGCCTAACATTGAGAATACTGAAACCTAGTTTGTGCTCAATCAATACTTGTTGATTGATAGGAAGGACTGGAAATACACTTTACTATGTAGTCTTTCTACCACTTCATATGGTTTAAGCTCTTATCTAGTTTGGACAATGCTGATAGTCACCATCTTATCTCCAGTTTCTCCTAACCAGCATACAAATACAGAATTTCGTCCCTAGTTAAACTCTTCAATGACTAGACTTGACTACAGAGTAAGTCAAAACTTTTTACGATGGCATTTAAAAATTGATATTAAAACTACATCTACAGTCTTCTATGTTCCAATCATACCTTACTGCTAGTATTATCTGAGCAAGTTGTATAATTTCATTTTCTTAGATCTCTTTAATGATCCTCAATCCCAGAAAAATGTTTTCCCTCTTCTGAAAAAATAAAAATATCATTTTTAAGGAATGATCTTTTCTGCAAAGTTTCTTCTGGCTCCATCTTCCAGAGAAAAGTTAAACATTCCCCACAACCATATGTTTCATTGCATTTTGACTATTATTTTCTTTAGTATATATGGAATTGTATTATAGTTAATTATGCACTTTTCTTGTCTCCCCGACTAGATTACAGAGGTGACATACAATAATTGCTTACTAAATTGCCAACTTTTGAATAAAAGAGAAAGTTGAACTCAATGATATCCAACATCCTCTCATATTTAGTATTTTATATATCTTTAATGATTTTGTTATTTTTCATTTGGAAATTATTTGGTAGCCCATGGCAAATTCTTTTAATTTTGATCCATCTCTACTCATTAAAAGCAATGAATGTAAAAAAACAAAAAGCCCTGGCCAGTGTGACTCAGCTGGTTGAGTGTTAACCCATGCACTGAGAGGCCACTGATGGGATTCCCTGTCAGGGTGCCTGCCTATATGTAGGCTGGATTCCCAGTAGGGGACATGCAGGAGGCAGCTGATTGATGTTTCTCTATATCTCTCCCTTCCCCTTTCTCTCACTCTAAAATCAATTATAAGCATATTTTTATAAAAGAAAATAAATTTAAAAAGATAAAAACCAAACAAAATGTATAGACTGCCAAAGATGTGGAGGTTTTCAAATGAAGAAACACTTGTTTTCTTAAATGTTAAGTCCTATTCAGCAATTAAATTTCTTGCTTAAATTAAAAATCTATTTCCATATCTCTGGTGCAAATTTAAATTGAAAAATCTATTTGGAGAGCAAACTAGTAATATCTATCAAGAATCTATAAATGTTTATGGCCTTTGACCAAGCATTTGACATATAGGAAATAATAAACCAGGAAAACATAGAGATAGAAAAGCAGTTATATCATTAATTTATCATTTTATTATATAGTATTTTATACTAAAATATCTAAATAAAGTTGGAAACAAGTTCAAGAATAGGAAAATGAAGAATAATAAAATAAGTTAGGATATTTCTATACAAATAGAATGTATTTGTGAATAATCAAGGACATGAAAACCTAATAATTAACAATGTAAAAAAAAAAGTATTTATATAACCCCAAATATCTACATATGCAAACATAGAAACATATATATATATATATATATATACACACACATATGTATATATGTGTACCCGTATGTGAGAGACATAGAGAGAACATTAACATAATATCCAAGTGAGAAGACTATGTACAATTATTATTTTCTACTAGAGGCCTAGTGCATGAAATTCATGCACTGGTAGAGTTCTAGATCTGGCAGGCAATCAGGGCCAATCTGTAGGGTGACTGGCAGGGTGATCAGAGCCTCCACATTCACCTGCCTTGGCTAGCCTGGTGCTGCCCACTTGCCAACCCCACCCATCACCAACGCCACTGGTCAGAGCCTGCAAGACTGGGGGCAGCTCCTGTGTTGAGTGTCTGCCCCCTGGTGGTCAGTGCACATCATAGTGACCAGTCATTCTGCTGGTCATTCCACCATTCCATCAATTTGCATATTAAGATTTTATATAGGTAGATTGTGTTTATAATTATTTTTCTTCTTTCTATATTTTTCCATCTCAACAAAAATTAACATACTACTATATTTCTTTCACATCAAATTTTAAAATTTACTTTTAAAACTTTTATATTCAGTCTGGCACTAAGACAATTTTAACTACTTTTAACTATTTAGAATTCTACCTATATTGAAGCCCAGCAGGATTGTTAGCAAGTCATAAACCATACACTTTGTTTCAAACAAATGTACCCTTCACACAAAGCATTTTCCATGCAGCATAAGTTACAAAATGTCTTATGAAAAATTAACAAGTTTTTAAATAAATGGCTCAGTAAAAAATTGGATAAAGAAGGGGGTGAGTCTAAAACACAAAGGGCATACATAACTTTTAGATAAAGTTAATATATGAAAGTGATGAATGTTTAACATAATGTGCCAAGAAAAAGACATGTGTGGGAGAGATGCCCTAATATATCTTATGTACATATTCATATCTAGTAGGAAATGCAAAATATATCCCATCTGTTTTCACTCTCTTTTCATCCTCTTTAGTTCCTCAAACAGCTGGTTGTGTAGCAGTGTACTTTCTTGGCAATCTCTCATTAGAGAAAGAAAATGGTCTCCATTATTGCCTTGATGGCCAATGGGACCAATCAAAGGTGGCAGCCACTGTCACAGTTTATGCACATATTTCCTGGCATGACATATTGTTAATTCAATTTATTGTTCCTTCTAGACACATTTTTTCTATACTTAGTTATAAAATATTAAATTTTCAGGACATTTACAAATATTCCTGCTTCAAATAAGGTGGCAGAAGACAAGAGAGTCACACAGAATGATCTCATTGCAATGACTTTATACATACTATGCATAATTTGATGTTATTTGGTTATCATCACCCAAAGTATATGCAAGGTTAAACCATAACAGCAAATACAGCTTTTTAAATATTTCTATTTCAATCATATAAATAGTGTTCCTTTTGACTCAAGTCAGATGGCATGATCTCAATGTTCTCAGGATGTTCTTAGATGATGAATTTAGTGTCTATGGGTCAGTGGAATATTCCTTCTATAAGAAATATCCTATATAATAAAAGGCTAATATGCAAATAGACCGAACAGTAGAACAACCAGAACAACCAAACAACCAAATGACTGGTCGCTATGATGTGCACTGACCACCAAGGGGACATGTACAGAACATGGCAGGTGTTGGCTGTGGCAGGATGGTGGAGCAGGTAAGCAGGGGCACTAGACCAAGGGAGGGCACCAGTTGCTGTCATTAGGGCAAGCCTCTTGTGGTTACTAAAAATTCTTTGCTCCCACACACTGTGGTCCCACATGGTGCTCGCACTCACTGCCAGAGCCAGCACCACTTGCACCCACAGCTGGCTCCAAAGCCTCCTCTCGCACCTGCTATTGCTGTGCCTGATGCCAATCCCAATCACTTGGCATCATCAGTTGGTGAGAGCAGCTGCCGACCCTGATCAGCCCTGAGGGCTCTTCCACCTCTCCCTGCTCCTGAGGGGCAATTGGGGCAGCAGCCGTTGCTCACACCCACTGGTAGTGCTAACCCCAATCACTCCACACCATTAGTGGGTGCAAGTGGGGCCAGTGCCATCAGCGCATGGGAGTGGCAGTGCGAGTGGGACTGCTGGCAGACAGAGCACTGTGGGCAGTGTCAGGAGTGGCCGAGCTGGGGTGCAGAGGATGGGCCAAGACCTGCTCCTGTGCCTACCACAGCCACACGGCCCACAGTTCCTTTCAAGATGCACACATTTGTGCACTGAGCCCCTAGTTCAAATATAATGTGCTGCAGTGGGAAGAACACTATGGGAATAATAAGATCTGGATTTAGGTTCCACCTCTGCCTCTAATCATTTGTGTGATCTAGGATATGTCATTAAGTCTGCTCACCTTAAAATTTAATATCTTCATAAGCTAAAAAGGAGTGAAACCCTAGAAATCTATGTTTCAACCTAAGTAGTTCTAAATCAGACATAATTTTGCACCACCCACTCAAGGCACATTTGGCAATAATGGGAAACATTTTCAGTTGTAACATCTTAAAAAAAAAATGAGCTACTGGTATCTATTAGGTAGAAGCCAAGATACTACTGAACATCCTACAATGCATAGTACAGCTCTACAAAAGAAAGAATTATCTGGCCCCAAATATCAATAGTACAGCTTTGCAATACCCTGACCTGCCTTCTAGTTGCATCAGACCATAGAGGAGAAATTTCAAATGATTGATAGATAAGAATGTTAAACATTTACATTTTTAGGTTATTGAAGTTTGAACATTTATAGTTGGATTCTAGATATGCTCAAATGATTGTAGGTGAAGATGAAAAATATTTAGAAAGATATAGAATATCACCATTGATTTCAACTGTCACAATTGGTTAATTTAATATGGCTTATTCATGTAAAATTAGTCTTCTACATCTTAGGCACCAATCACATTTTCTTTTCTCTCAGTAAGGGCAGTTAAAAATTCTGTTTTTATACCACCAAATTCTTAGCATCATGAATATAATATAACTTGGAAATCAGTGCGAGCTTACAATTTAAATGGTTGACCGTCTACTTAGAGGTTATTTCCTTAACCCTGAGCTTGGTTATTTTTTCTTAACACTAAGCTTGTCAATTGCTTTTTATTATTATAGTAATATGAGGATTATACTATAACATTCTTGTTAGAATTTCATTTCTGAAAAGGATAGAGAATATCCTAATATAAATTACCATTAATTAAATGCAAAGATTAGGAAAATTCCAAGTTGAGTGTTCTTTAAAAAATTAGTTTAAAGCTAGAGTTTTATGAGATTACATAAAGCTATATATAAAAGCTTGTTTGTTAATTTGTATGCTTTCCTTTCTTTAACAGGAGAGCAGTGAAAACCTCTATTAGTTATGCTAACCCACACTGTAGTTCAAAATGTTCTTGGGAAAAGAGATGGAGAGAAAAATCTACCTTTTAAAAAAAAAAAAAAAATTACAACAATTTTGAAAAAAAAATTTTTGTCACCATTGATTCTCAAGAAAGTAAGGTTCATAGCAGAAGTTTCTACCACTCACCTTGCAGATTTCAGCCAAGATGCTGTCAACTTCAAAGATCTGTTTTCCTTGGTCTCCAGTGTTGCCACACCCTATTGCAGGAGGGTCAATTTGCCTCAGATTGTAAGTTTCAATATAGAAATGTAAGCACATATCTTAACATGAGTCTTAGCTAAATAAGTCTTCTGAAAGTCCTTCAGTTAACACAAAACAATTTTTTCCCTCAATGATCAAAGGGTTCTTGAGTGTGAGAGGAAGTTGTGGAAGGACTAAATGAACTTGTATATTATAGAAATCAGAGAATTGTTGGGAAAATATACACATATTTGACCTTCCTGCCATTTGTTCTTTATGTCACAGGCTTTCTTGTGAAACTTTGTGTAGTTACTTCCATTTCTTTCATTTATAGTTGATGCAATTTTTGCAAGCTCTAAAAGCTTTGAACTAACAGTCAATCAACTCTTAAAGTGCCTCGTCATTCTTGTCAAATCAGCCTTAATGTTTCTTGGCAGAGAATCCAGTTGTTTTGATAAGGATGGACTTAAAGAAACCCCAAGTTGATGATGAGAAGGATTCTCCATTTTCTAGAAGAAAGACATACAAATGCTTTCACTTTATTTGAGTGCTCAACCTTTAGTCTTCTGACAATATAAATTTTTGCTATGCTAGTCTGACATCATAGACAGAGCACTGGACTTGAACATCAGAAGTTCTGCCTAAAAATCACAGCTTTCTCGTTTAATAGTGTTGAGCCTTTGGGTGTAATTACTTCACATCACTGAGTTTCAGTTACTCTTATGGGATAACAACACCTAACGCAATGTGTTATTGTTAGCATTACATGGAACAATGTTATGAAAGTACCTTGTATATTGTAAATCATTATGCAACTGTGTATATTTATATTATTGTATATTATAATTTCTGCCTTTATGAATACATTGAATTATTATACTAAGTAAATAATTCTAGGGGTAGATATGGGAGAACACACATCACTGTGACCAGGTGTATCAACATCATAACTACACAATCTTTTTCTGTATTATAAACAAACCATTAATATAAATTGTAGAGGAAGAACCAGCATGTACTACAAGTAAGATATTATCCTTTATTCCAATAATATCAAATGTGTAGCAAGAGGATGACCTCATGATTTTATACAGTTGTAAAAGTGAAGAGAGTTAATGAACTATGGATGCACAATAAAAAGAAAGTCTTGCCAGGGGAGACATCACTGCTGATGAAAATGGTTCCCAGTATTCAGATATGAAACTCAGGTACATATTCTTATAGAAACAATGTGACATGCAATAGATCTAGTTAAAAGAAAATAATTTGCCTTCACTATCTGTACTTCTGGTTCCCAAATACATACAAAAGGGCCTTGATAGGCAGCCTCTGAACCCAAACATTGTGCATGCATTCTTTATATAGGAAAATGTGTTTTAAATACAAACAAGTAAGTTTACATAAGCACAGTTCAACTCTGCTCAAAGTTAGGGATTGCTTGTATAACCAATCCTATATAATAAAAGTCTAATATTCTAAGTGTCCAGTCGTCTGGTCGGCCATTCAACCAATCAAAGCATAATATGCTAATGATATGCTAAGTCTACTCAACCACTTGCTATAATGTGCACTGACCACCAGGGAGCAGTCAACCAGTCAACCAGTTGCTATGATGTGCACTGACAATTAGGGGGCAAACTGTCCAACCAATAGGTTAGCTTGCTGCTGGGGTCCAGCCAATCAGGACTGAAAGAGAGGGGCCGGACACACCCTGGAGTCTTCCCACAGTACTTCCCCAGCTGGCCAAACTCCCATGTCCTTCCCCAGCCCAATCATGCACCAGTGGGGTCCTTCGGCCTGGCCTGCATCCTCTTGCAATCCAGGACCCCTTGGGGGATGTCAGAGAGCCAGTTTTGGTCCAATCTTGCAGACCAGGCTGAAGGACCCCACTGTGCATGAATTCGTGCACCAGGCCTCTAGTTGAATATAAATTATATTGCAAATTCTACTGGAATTAGATTTCCTGAGAAGAGAATCAGGAATTCACCTGCCAGTAAACTGCTGCTTCTAGGATGATCTGTTAAGAATCCTGGTGTGGTGGGAATGGTCTCTGTCTGCTTTGGTGCAGAT